ACTCTGTGCGGGTCAGCCACCAAGGAGTAAATACTTGAGGAACTGGACTGGGCCCCTGTGGGGGGGAGGGCTGGGGAGGGCCACTGAGGTCCATACCTCTGTGTGTGGGGGGGGAGCTGAGGGGAGAGACCACTGTGGTGGAGAGGGGGACTGGGCTGGACCATTATGGAGATGCTGGAGAGAGGACTACTGTGGGGGGTTTCAGCTGGGGAGCCAGGTCACATGCTGGAGGGGGGCTGCCAGTGCGGGAGGAGTGAGGGCTGGGGAAGCAGGAGGGCAGTGAGAGAGGCTAGGGAGCCTGGCTGCCCTGGGCAAAGGGGAGAGGGCCCCCTGGGGAAGCTGGAAGGAAGGTCGCTTGGCTGTGGGATGATGGGCCACTCATCTGGAAAGTGGTGTTTAGAGTTTGGGAATCAGCTCCCTTGGGGTGGGGGGCAGACCAGAGGGACTAGCAGTAATCAAAATACTCCCAGCAAACAAAAGCCCGCCCAGACGGCTTCACGGGGGAATTTTACAAAACATTCAAAGAAGAACTAGCACCCGTTCTCCTCAAACTATTTCAGAAAATCCAAGAGGAAGGAACACTTCCGAGCTCATTTTATGAGGCCAGCATTACCCTAATTCCAAAACCAGATAAAGACACTAAAAACAGAGAGAATTACAGGCCAATATCCCTGATGAACATAGAAGTTAAAATCCTCAACAAAATATTAGCAAATCGCATCCAGCAATATATTAAAAAGATCAGACACCATGACTAAGTGGGATTTATTCCAGGGATGCAAGGCTGGTACAATATTCACAAATCAATAAATGTGATACATCACATAACCAAATTGAAAGACAAAAAATCACATGGTCATAGCGATAGACACAGAAAAAGCATTTGACAAAATCCAATACCCATTTTTGATAAAAAAAAAAAAAAAAAAAAACTTTCAGCAAAGTCTGAATAGAGGGGGCATATCTCAACATGATAAAGGTCATTTGTGACAAACCTACAGCCAACATCACACTCAATGGGCAAAAACTAAAACCATTTCCCCTAAGAACAGGAACAAAGCAGGGATGTCTGCTTTCACCACTCCTGTTCAACATAGTACTGGAAGTCCTAGCCAAAGTGATCAGACAAGAAGAAGAAATAAAAGGCATCCAAATTGGAAAGGAGGAAGTAAAACTCTTATTGTTCACAGATGACATGATATTGTACATAGAAAACCCTAAAGATGCCACCAAAAAACTACTAGATTTAATAAAGGAATTTGGCAATGTAACAGGATACAAAATCAACACCCCAAAATCGGTGGCTTTTTTATACACCAATAATGAATTCTCAGAAAGAGAAACTAAACAAACAATCCCATTTACCATTGCAACAAAAAAATTAAGATACTTAGGAATAAACTTAACCAAGGAGGCAAAAGACCTGTATTCGGAAAACTACAGGATGTTGGAAAAAGAGATAGAAGAAGATATAAACCAGTGGAAGAATATACCATGTTCATGGATTGGTAGAATCAACATCATTAAAATGTCTATACTACCCAAGATAATCTACAGATTCAATGCAATCCCTATTAAAATACCAATGGCATATTTCACAGGTCTAGAACAAATACTCCAAAAGTGTATATGGGATCAAAAAGGACCCCTAATAGCTGCAGCAATTTTGAGAAAGAAAAACAAAGTTGGAGGAATCACAATACCAGATTTCAAGTTATACTACAAAGCCACCATAATCAAAACAGACTGGTATAGCACAAGAACAGGCATATAGATCAATGGAACAGAACAGAGAACCCAGAAATCAACCTAAGCCAGTGGTTGGCAAACTCATTAGTCAACAGAGCCAAATATCAATAGTACTTCTTCAAAATAGACTCGCCCAGGCCGAAAACCGACTTCTGCGTATGGGCCACGAAGTTTCAATCGCACTGTACGTGCGCGCCCGCACGTGGTATTTTGTGGAAGAGCCACACT